ACAATACAGATATTTTCAAGTTACTAAAATGATGAAATGACTATCAGGTGTCCAATTGCAAGTTTGTTTATGGCTTCTCTGTAAAAAATACAATGAAGAACAGACGTTCTCTCTTCTTGACTCACTATCTCACCTTCCATGAGGCTTCTGTGTTGATTCCTAGTCTTCCTTAGCAATTTGCATTTCTCTTATATCTTGTGAGTGTTCTGTTTATTGTTTGTTTGCCTGTTTTTTGGCAGCTGTGGTGGGGATTGTGAAGGTTTGTTGTCTATATACTTCCTTCCTGGCTTTCATTCTGACCCCTTTCATGGTGCATTGGAGATGTTTCCTGAATACCATTTTGGAGGATCTTGGAATGCCAAGTTTGTGTTTGTAGAATACTTATGGGGAATGACGGCTGGTGGGGAGAGCAGGATGGGAATAGTGCTTCATCAATAGAGAAAATATGTTGTGATTTCTTACACAGGATCAACTGTAGGGACATCCAGTGGGGTTTCTAGTCTGTTTCCCTGCAACACTGTTGGAGTGATTTGATCATCCTAATACCATGGGTATCCAATGTAACTGCATATTTCTACTGAGGGTAATTCTACAATTTATTTTGGCGGCTTGTCCTGCTGTCTGACTGTTCCTATGGTTATAAAGATTTCCCTGCTGCTTTTTCAGTCAATTACTTCTTGTTTTGGTCTTCTTGACTAATAAGAATAATTGATCCCTGTTGTCTTTATAACACTGCTTTAGATTGTGATCTTAATTCCCCTTGGTTTTTGCTTTTAGCATTCTTGGCATTGTGCTACCTAGGAACAGGTAGCTGAACACCCCATAAAGCCAACAGAAACCTATCTGACTTCACTGTATATTTTTTTATACTAGAAAAGGGGGAAGCAACTTTGTTACTGACCATAGCAAGGAGAGTGATGAGTTGGGAAGCTCATGTCTTAATATCAATAGTTAAAATCCAAATTATTAACTAAATCTACTTATGGGACTAGATTTTGGCTGCTTATGTGTGGACACATGGGCCGGGTTAGAGGGCACACGAAATAGTTTCTCCCCTTTCCTATATGCTCCTATAGCCAGAATCTTGGTGCTTGCATTCAATAATTGCAGGAGGTAGGTGAGTGTAGATACTAAACACCCCAAAGAGGGCAAGACCTTCATGGCCAGGGTCTCATCTCCATTCCCGGCTGGAGGCCAGCGGTGTGGAGTGCTGGAGTTAATGCCCATGTAGGTATTCTATTTGTCTCTATTCGTCACAGGCAGAAAGTTTCCAGAAGCCACTGCTGATTTCTTGTACCTCCATCCCACCCTAAGGCACCCGTGGCTTTTAAAGCCACAGTGTAATCCCTCCCCCCATGTAAACTGAAACTTTGCAAATACATTTGCATTTAAAGTAATTTCATCTGTCCTTGAAAATGAAACCATGAAATCACTTGGAAAGTGTTATCAGTCCACAGCCTGGCCCATTTGCCCTATGTGGCAGCAGCCATGTTAGATTCTTGCCCTTGAAGAAAGAATCCTTCCGGTCACATTGAATTTTAGGTACTCAGGAAGTACACAGATGGGACCAAGTAAATAACTACCTACCTAATTGACTACAGATAGGTAAGTTCATTGGTGACAGTGGGAGATCTCTCAAAGGATTGTAGTGTAGGCACTGCCAGTGGAGCTATTAGTGGCAGTAAGGGTTGTATGCTTGAGCCCATACCTAATTAAGCCTCAGAATTATTTATTCATTTATTTGTATAGATACATTAAGAGCTATTTGTAAAGTTTACATACTCCATCCAGTTGGCAGCAACTGAAGTTAGGGTTTCTGCATAAGTGGCTGATCAAGCCTTAAAACATCAAGCTTTTTGACGCAATGCTGAAACAAATGTTAATGACGCCTTTATGCCTGAAGCTGCTGACTAGCTGGACTCCACCTTTCCTTCAGTTTACAAATCATTATCTTTGTGCTGGCTTGCTCCCTACGGATCTGCAGCCAGAGGGGGTTCTCCACGTGCATATCTCCTACTTTCTGCCTGGAAGGGGTAAGGGAATCCCTTATCTTGCCCCATGGGGGGGGGGGGGGGGGGGGAGGGGAAGAAGGAATGTTGGGCCATGGAAAAGGGCTATGCCTTTCTTTGACTATGTTGCTGGTAACTGCCAGATGGCAGAATGAGAGGCATTCTACTGGGCCCACTTCCACGGGAGCCTTTCCAAGTTGCTGCCTCAGAGCTGGGATCTGAAGAAACATGCTCAGGAGACAGTTTTGAAAGGGTAATTTTTAATAGTCATTTCAAAATCCCCACCACATATGGTTTTTGGGGTAGTGGAGGGGATTTTCTCAGCTGCTACTGAAGAAAATCTGTATAAAAAGGAAACCAATTACATGAGTGAATTTTTTGACTCAAAGCTATGTGTTGATACAATATAGTTCATTTTAGGCACAGCTGTCAGACTCCATCAGTTGTCCTAATCATTGTGGAGGAGCTTAAAGTGCCATTGCCTGAATGGCTGGACACCACTATTTGTGTGCTGGCCTGTCTTACAGACCGTAGTTTGTTAATTAGAGATTTAATAGGCCTGATTCTCCTCTCCTTTAAAATGCTGTATGTCACTGAAGTTAAAGGACTTATACTAGTGCAAATATAAGAAGAATCAGGCCTAAAATTTTACAGGCTTAGGCATTCCAGTGTAACCTCAACTCAAAAATGGCTGCTATATGTTGATACAACATAGGTGCCATGTTGGTAGCAATGTCACACACAAAAGGAGAAGCCAGGGCTCCATTTCATCTCTGTCCCTTTTTACCCACTAAGAAAGGTTGGGAGAGTATTAGGCATGCAGCCACCATTATATTTCCACAGAAAGAAGATCCATGGCATTCTTACATGATTGTATCAGGAGTAGGAGGTGAGGGGGGTGAAGAGAGACCTTATTCCTCTGTGCAACCATCCATGAGCAGGGCAGAGTCTAACCATCATGAATTTGAAGATTTGTCATATTTACAATTTAATTTTTGTTCCAATGGGATCTGTTTAGAAGCCAGTTTATTTTATTTGTTAAAATTGGAGACCTATTCAGTAGGTTGAGAGGTTGCTTTTATTTTTATTTTTTTTAAGAGCTTGTCAAAATTAGCACATGCCTAACAAAAAATAACATACTTTATTAACCCAAATACAAAGTAGTAGTAAAGGAGGGATTTTTGTTTCTATCTACTTGGGCCTTCTTGGAAATGTATATATGTTAGAATGGATATTACAGAAATAAGACATGATCACTTGTATGCAATCCAGTCTGATAGAATGCTTACTTTTCCTTAATCATTACCACTAGTTACTCCATTACAGAAGCATCAGGAAGTTACAGAAGAGTTAAGAAAAAAAATCCAAGAATATGAAAAGTGAGTCTCTAATTTAAAGCGAGGTAATACTCTAGAGTATCTTTTAACCCCCTCCCTCTTTTTAATTAAGTATTTAAGATCTGAGTCTAGACTGATGTCAATTTCTGCTTAAAGTCAGTGGAAACTGAGGGTGTTCAGCATGTCCAAGGCTCAGCTCCTTATGAATAAGCCCTGAGGAAGGATAAAAATCTGCCTTCACTAGTGAAACAGAACTGAAACAAAACAGTAGATGATAAAAATTGCTTTTGCATTTTTCATTTCATACATAAAGCCTTGATAAAGAAGATATTGTGCTGAGAGTCAACAAGTAAAAGAAAGAGGAATGTGTACATATCTTAAAACAAATGTCGCTATAATAAATAGAGCTTGCTGGAACACTTGACAAAACATCATCAAAATCTGCTGTTTCATCAAAGCTAAAACATTTCACAGAGGTGTAAAGATTTTGATGTAGTTTTTGACAGCAAAATTTTTGAGGTCGAAGGTGGATGTTCCAATTGATACCAGAGAGACGGGAATCTAAAATCTGACCTTTTCAATCCCAAATGGACATTCTGACACAATTTTGCTTCTCAACATTTTCAAATGATTTTGTTTTCATTCCAGTTTGGAACAAAAACAAATTCTGAAACCTTGGAAGTTGTCACAAAATGAAATTGTCATCCTCCCACTGATTCTAATTATAAATTAAATTGATATATGTGCAAATATCATCCTAAGGGTTCAATCTTGCACCCACTAAAATCAGTGGCAACACTTGCATTAACTTCAAAAGGAGTAAGAGCTGACCCTGTACAATTCCTTATAGGTAGTACCCTATCTATTTCACTTCTAAGACCAGTTAACTTTAAATGAGTTGGCTGCTCTTATGTATACCACTGCCATCTACTGGCTAGAGTAAGATCTGCCAATGTGTTTGTAATCATGGATATTTATATCCTGATTTATAGTGATGTAAAGGAGGTCAGGATCAGGCCGCAAGTTTCATGGGCTGGCCTATAAAGTTAGTTATACTATCCCCCATACTACTAACAGCTAATGGAGGTTTCACTGTGGCTCAGGAAGAGACCTGTGTTTTTGGAGCAGAAGGTTGAAAGTCTTGTTGCTGAATGTGCAGAGTGTAGCTGCACAATCATTATGTCAGTATGTGAGTGTGTGGGTGTGTTGTGGATTTTATTAACATGGATTTATAACATTGTCATGGCCAGGAAGGAAAAAAATTCAGCTAAGGGCTAAATTCAGCCCAGGTTTGTGCTGGCAGAGCTTTAGAGGTGGAAAATCCAACAGTGTGAGGCTTGGGGGGGAGAGGGAAGTAGCACCAGAGTGAAAAGCGACCACAGCTTCCCCTCTGGCTGAGGTCCCATTGACATACAGCGCATCTCAAGAAAGAGATGTGGCCAGGGTGGTTAGAGATGCACGGATGCTGTGCATTGGAGGCCCCCAAGGAATTAAGTCTGCCTTCAGTCAGTGGAAAGTCTAAAAACAACACGGTAGAAGAAAATCGCCTGCTCTCTTTCCCTCCAAGGGGATGGGCTGGCAGAGCAAAGTGCAATGTACACCTCCCTGCACCAGCTCTGGTGAATCCACACAAGGACAAGGAATGAATTAGCGGTTGGTGAAATAGGTGTGATTTAATTGCAGTCAGTGTTTTGTGCCTGCTTCTGTCAATGGTGAACTTGGCTCAAACACAATTTTAAAATGAGAAAGATTAAGGAAGAAAAAAACTATACAGAAGAGCATTATTTTTTTGTACACTATTTTAACTTTCCAGCTGAAATAACAGTGAAACAAATTGCCAATATCATCAATATTAGTATGAATCAGAATGAAAATGTGTTCACCAAATTTTCAGATTAGGAATAATACAAAATGGCTGTGATCCAGGAAAAGCAAGTTAGAGGAATCGAAACAGAAGTTCAATACAAGGAAGAACAGAAAACACAATCAACATTTATAGTCCTGGGCTAGTGCTAACTGTAATTATGAGAATTAGGTGGTGTAACAGTAATTCCTTATGTAAGAGAAAAGTAAAGGAAGTTCTTACCATAGCTTGAGTGAAACTGATTATAATCAGTTTCTTCATACAGACACTGACTAAAAAAATACGATTAAAGCAAGGTGCTTAGTTTGTTGCAGAAACCCCCTCCCCGCCCCCAACAAGTGTGTTATCTCAAAGTTTAATCTTTAACAGGTAACTTGGAGTAACTCCTGTTATTATACTAACAACGTGAAGAAGTCAAAGTCTGTACATCATGGCAAGTTTTAAGTATTTCAGTTTTAACAATAAGGTAGGAATGGTGGACTGAACTGGTCAATTCTGACACTCCCAATTCCCCCCCCCCCCCATAATTTTATATTTGCAAAACAAACGAACAAAATTAAACCAAATAAAAACCTAACCCCAGCCCAACCAACCAAAAAACCCCTAAACAAAACAGGCAAGCAGACCAACCAGGAATGGCTCTACTTCTCCACATGCTGGAAATCTACATAGGGTATTCCTATGTCTGAAAAATGATACTAGTGTCATTCTCTTTGCACAAAACTGGGTATTGATCAAAAGATTATTGTAGTAATCTGATTATGTTTTAAATTTCCTGAAATCAGGGCAAAAATTTAGTGTTAATTATGGCCAGATTTTGCCTCCTGTGTAAAATAAAATGCAACAAAAAACAACAAAATACACAGAAGGAACAAAGCTAAGTGAAAAATCTCTGCTGCCTTCAGGCCATAGGGTTTCTGTTAAATTGTCCCATGTAGTATGAGAGGTTTTGCAGGTCCTGAGATCTGTGGGCCTACCCTGAGGATCTTCAAGCAACTGGAGAATTCTAGGTTCTCTCACAAGGGAAAGACTCACTGTGATTCTCCTAGGGCTGGTCACTTAAACTGTATTGAATCAAAATCAAATTAGAACAGGTTTCCATCCCAGGGCCTGAACTGTACCACTGAAGTCAATGGGAGATTTACTATTGACTTCAATGGGAGCAGGATTGAGCCCTGTGTACTTGAATCTGTAAGAACAGAAGAGGCAAACATCCTGGTTTTTGCATCATCACAGAGAGTGATAATCCTTGAACAATCCATCCCCTAGCAGAGCTTCAAAGGAAACCTGCTCTTAATCAGCAAACCCATTTTCCACAGGAGTTTCCAGGAATGGAGAGCAAACCTACCCAAGTTAATGCTGATGGGCTGATGCTGAGAATACCATGTGTTTCCTGGTTCTAACCCCTCTCTGCCCATTTGTGCTCCCTAAAAATCTGCAGAGGACTTATTGCAGAGAATTCACACAGAGAAGCTACCACCGGAGCAGAGGGAGGGGACATACAGCTGCTACTTAGGTTTCACTCCCCTTCTTTTTGACAGATATTTGCTCCTTTGAATGGTTTTTCCACTCTTCATTTTGTCCATTGCAAAAAACTGAGGTGTGATTTGGTCCTAGGTAGTAACTAGTTCATAAAATGAACTAGTCTGTAGAGTTTCTTTGTATTATCTGTATTAAATGCAATTATTTTGGTGGTCCTTGCACCATTAATTTTCACTATTTCTCTCAAGATCAGAAATGAGGATGCTTTCTTCCACAGCTAGATCTTCAGAGTTCATTTGTGAATAACCTGGATTTCTGAACCATTGTACTCTATTGAAGAGACTGTTGTTCTGTTTGTACAGGCACCACAGCAATGTAGACATAGCAGCCACCATCACCAGTGTCACCATTACAGCTAGAGCTACGATCCCACTGTGTGATGCTAAAAGGAAAGAAGAAGCAGAAGAAAAGTTCTATAACAATGAAAGAAAGTAACGTCATAAAAATAGATGCAGAAAACATTTTAGCTTCAGTATTTCTGATAAAAATATAAACGTATCACATAGTAGAATTTACCTTTTACTGTTTGCACTGTTGCAAAGATATCTGAAACAGAATCCAGAGTTAGCATGAAAATTATTCAGACAACTTATAAAAGTTAACATACATGCTTTATTGTAAAGTTGCTACTTGTGGGGGAGGGGACATACTTTATAACAATAATGGGCCATCCCTGATTTAACTTTATTGATGTCAATGGGAGTTACAACAGACTGCGATAAATATGGCCTGATGCGTCATTTTAAATTCCTTCACTTACCAAAGTGCATGTGAGATAAGCACGGTCTAAATATGAAGGAGCTAAAGTTCAGGAATGCTCAGTTATGGTTTGATCTGCTTCTGCAGAAGTCACTGGATTTTTGCCATGGGTTTCAATGGAAGCAGGATTGAGCATCTACTGGGTGAGAGTTGTCAAGCTCTAATACTTTGAAGTCTTTTCTATTCGTACAGTGGAAAGATGGTCTTTTGGTTAAGGAATCAGCCTGGGAATAAGAAGATCTGAATTCTATTCCCGGTTCTCCCACAAATTTCCTGGGTGACTGTGGCCAAGTCCTTCTCTATAGGGGGGAAATAACATTTACATACCTCTAGGGGAATTGTGGGGCTAATTTCATTAATATTTGTGAGGCATACACTATACTACTGAGTGACATAGAAAAATTAGATCTTTGATTTCCACACTGCTACAGTTCTTATATAGATCCAGTGGATGACTGAAAGTTGTATCCAAGTATTTATGCATAGACTTTTCTATCTGCCACATGCCTTATGAGCCAGTTGTTCCATGAGAAGAAAACTAAACTAAGAGTTTGGGGGGTACTGGAGGCGTTTGTGCACACTCTGGTGAACTTTAGCACTTTACAATCTACTAAAGAAGTGGCATAAAGTAAGTAAGTAAAGTACTTGTAAAGTAATTATTAAATATCCCCATTTTATAGGAGGAAAGACAAAGACAGACAGGTTAAGTGCCTTGATTATGGCCACAGTGGGAGTCAGAACTAGGATTAGAGTATGGGAGCTTGCTTCTGTTCAGTCCACTATCCTAGGCTGTCTTTCACATTATTTAGCAAGCTTGTGGCTGGAGGCCACATAGTCTGCTCAGCAGAGGAGCTGACTCAGCAGTCTGGAAAGCAGCTACAGCAGCTCTAGCACCATCAGTAGCAGTGCCCATTGTCCCCGCAACTACTAACTGGTCTGCATCCCCATCAAAATAAGGTGACCACAACTAAGGATTTTATGGGTCCTACAGGCTAAATCTGAATGGCATTAGGGAGGACCAGAAATAAAGAATGATCTTTAAGAAAAAAAATCAGTGATAAAATTGCAACCTTTGAAGTTAGTTCACTTCTTCAAAGCTATATCCATGAATAAAAAGGGACAAAAAATATCTATAAAAAATGAAATATCCTTTATAGACTACCAAAATCAAGTGAGGCATGTGACTACAGGCTTCATGGATGCAAAGTCCAGTTGTGAAGAGGATTGCAGACATATGGGAAACTGAAGGTGCAATGGCATTAAAGGCCATTAACTGAACACCATTTCAGATGAAGCCTAAAGTAAGGAAAAGGGGAAACCAGGGGCATATAAAACAATGTTATAAGGAGATGGTTACTTTCTTTCACATAAAACACATACCTGTATCCATTTTACATACAAATCCCTTTTTCTCTCTGCAGGGAGATAATTGCCATACTCCATCTGTGGTCCTCAAAGCAACACAAAAATTCCCTTTGAGATGATCCAAGTCAGGCTCCCTGATGCCCCAGTTTGAATAATTTAAGGGAGAACCATCAATCCATGTTACTGTGTCATCTAAAGGCAAAAATATTTAAGCACTTTGAGGTCTGTGTAATTCGTGTTCAAATACTTGCTGAACAGGAAAGAATGAGGAGAGGACAACTAGATAGGGGGATTCTGAAGAGCCAACTCCCCAAAAATATGGGCAAAATTATCTTCTCTGATATGCACTGCTGGAGCTTCTTTTGTTCCCTCCATCTCCAATTGAGGAAAGCATTCCTATTCAGGAAACCACTTGCGTGTCTCCTGAATATGGATGGATGTTAGCACGATCTTGTGTGTTTTCCTAGATCAGAGCCTCAGAGAGGTAGCCTACCTGCCAGGAGCAGACTGCATATGGGCCCAGCATTGAGAAACCTGTCTCTCACGGCAAAAACAGTGTCATCCATTATGAGCAGTTAAGGGGTGGGCAATGAAACTGGGTGTCTCTCTGTGCTGTGGAGTAGAGTGGTTGGGGATGTGAAGCAGGAGGGAATCTGCTCTTCAGTGACCATCCATCCTGCCCCGGAAAGGAATAAGGGTATTATCCTTCCTGTGAGCCAGCCATTATAGTGGGACACAAGCCAGAATGTTCCAACCAAACGGTCACAGCTTTAATAGCTACAGAGATAGAACTTTGTATTTCCAGTGCACCCTAAACTGATAAAGACAGCTGAGATAAACAAGTTGAGTGTTCTGGTATGTGGTTGTCAACGCTAAACTAAGAAATGAAACTGTACCATCATATTAATGCAGTTAATCAAGGGTTGGCAACCTTTCAGCAGTGGTATGCCGAGGCTTCATGTATACACTAATTTAAGGCTTCGCGTGCCGGTAATACATTTTAACATTTTTTAGAAGGTCTGTACTGAAAACATCCTCAATTCAGGGCAATTGGACCTTATGACACCCTACTCCAAGCTGTCATTCTCTGTCTTGTATGCAATCTCAGCAGCCTGGCAAGACTGAGCTGTCATGAAACTTAGCAGCCCAAGCAACACACTTGTTGCCCACCACTTCTCAGGATAATGGATAAAATGATCAAACCTTACAAGCTAACTGTAATTACATAGCAAAAAACACAGTGTAATTACAATGTAATTATAAACTGCATTGAGAAAAGTCACAGTGTTAGTACATTGTATTTTCCATACTTGGCTTCCAACAGAATATGTATTAAGAACACCAATGGGATGGTACGAAGTAAATCAAGCATCTAGTCAGCTTCTGATCATATGAATCAGTAGTAATGCATACTGAAAAGCAAAACCTTATTGTAATTGCTATGTAACTGCATTGTAATACTTAGCCTTATTATAAAGTTTGACAAAAAATAACGAAGGATATATCCGACATTTAAAAAACCTACTTGCCCTAGAAGAGTAGAATTCTGCAAAGCTGCTGTACGTACAAACACCCATCCATGTGGAAAAGAGAGCAGCAGGTAGTAGGATATGAAAAATATTTTCTTAAATGGCACCGCAAAACTGAGTGTTGAGTGATTTATGATAGGTTCTCTCTAAGCGAAACTCTCTCCTACCACACTGTTAGTTCATACAACTCATTTGCTTTGCATTTTATGAACTCATTTGCGCTGACTTCTCCCTCAAGATGGTGCCTGGTCTTGTGTTTTGTGGTTATTTTTCTCTCTCTTTTTCTTTGGGAAACATCCCTTCTTCTGTGTCCGCTAGGCCTAATTCCAATTCTCCAGCTGGTGTGACTACATTGGAGTGACTCCTGATTTACATCGGCATAAATCAGGTCAGAGTCTTTTGTTCAGGGCATAACACCTGTAGAAGGAGTTACTCGTGTTGATGAGATAGTCTCCTAGAAAAATAATCCCGTTGGAAGTAATCCAGTTGAAAGAGGTTTTATGGCATATTTTAAAATGCAATTTCTTGCTGACAACTGATGAATGTCTATGGGAGCTGCTCAGCCCGCCGCCACTCTGGGGTTCCCGCTGCTGGCCCCTTGCCAGCCGGGGTCCCACCGCTGGTCCCACTCAGCACCCACTAGTGGCCTGGGGGAAGGAACCCCAGACTGGCAGTGGGCTGTGACCCCAGCTGGCAGGAGCCGGCAGCCGAAACCCCAGAGCGGCGGCGGGCTTTCCACCACCGGCTCCTGCCAGCTGGGGTCTCAGCCCGCTGCCAGCCTGGGGGAAGGAACCCCAGGCCAGCAGCGGGTGTTGAGTGGGACCGTCGGTGGGATCCCGGCTGGCAGGAGCCGGCGGTGGAAACCCCAGAGCGGTGGCGGGCTGAACGGCTCAGTCCGCCATCACTCTGGGGTTTCGGCTGTCGGCTCTTGCCAGCTGGGGTCACAGCCCGCTACCAGTCTGGGGTTCCTTCCCCCAGGCCAGCAGCGGGTGCTGAGTGGGACCGGTGACGGGACCCGGGCTGGCAAGGGGCCAGCTGCTGGAACCCCAGCCCGCCCCGCGTGCCGAGCGGCTCAGCCCGCCCCGCGTGCCATCAAAAATCGGCTCGTGTGCCACCTTTGGCACATGTGCCGTAGGTTGCCAACCCCTGTATTAACGTATTCCATTACTTACTGTCCACAACAAACTGAATGTTCAACCAAATCCTTTGGACAGAAGAACCAAAATGGTGCAGTTCTTCCAGAACGAAAGCATTTTCATCTTCATCTTTAATAGTTAAAAGGTTAGATCCTGCAGATGAAACATATATACTAAGTTTCTTCATTGTTGATCATGTTCAGAACATAATTAAACTCTATTCATCTAGCCTTACACAGTGGGAAATCATCTCCTCCAGCTGTAATCGCAATTCACTCTTCGCAAAATAACTACATGCAACCCCATGCTTAGGATGTCCCTAAACCTCCGACTGCCAGAAGCTGGGACTGGACTACGGGGAACGGATCACTCGATAATTGCCCTGTTCTGTTCATTCGCTCTGAAGCATCTGGCATTGGCCATTGTTGGAAGACAGGATACTGGACTAGATGGACCATTGGTTTGACCCAGTATGGCTGTTCTTACCGTATATACTCGTTCATAAGCCGAATATTTTTTGGTAAAAATGTGACGCATCAAAGAGCAGGGGTTGGCTTATAAACGGGTCTACACCAAAATTTGATGATTTTAAACTCTATGGAATCATTGAATTGAATATCTAATACATTGTCGTTTTGTTTACCTGGAGCGTCCACATGTATGGAGCCCCTTGGCTCCCTGTGGGCGCGGTTTGCCGTTCCCAGCCAATGGGAGCTGTGGGAAATGGCAAACCGCGGACACTGGGAGCTGAGGGGCTCTGTGCCTGTGAACGCTCCAGGTAAACAAAACATCCAGGCCCGCTAGCGGCTTACCCTAACAGGCCAGAAGCCAAAGTTCGCCAACCCCTGAAATAGAGGGTCGGCTTATGAAAGGGTCATACAGTTTTTGCTATTTTTATCTAACCATCTTGGGGGGGGGGGTCGGCTTATAAACGAACGGGCTAATGAACGAGTATATACAGTATTTTTCAGTGGAGCCTTAGGAAGTTAGTTTTCCAACCCCAAAGCAATTCAGTAGGAGTTGGGCTCCTAACTCTCTTAGGCACCTTTGAAAATTCCAGCCTCTCTCTTTAAACAAAATATTTTTGTTTCATTCTCACACACCACATGGAAGTTACATTTCCCACTCACGGGCTTTTGCTACAGAAGAAATAACACCTGTTGCATGGTATCAAAACTTAATATTGCGCTTCAAAAGTTCAACATTATGCATAGTTATCTTAGAGATTTTAAATTATGGTTACACTAAATAACTTCTAAATTTACAATGCAGGTATAAATCTGAAACTGTCAGACTGTTATCACAGGATCTTTACAGTAATCTGAAGAGAAAGCCATTCAATTGTATACAATGCAAAGAAAACTTATATCCTGATGTATTTTAGAACATTTGTTAGTTGTTTTAGTTAGCTACAATATCATCTTCACTCCCATATAAAACAGGCCACTATTTAAATAATTTATTTAAAATGTTCAGAAGAATACATGACATTTTATTGCTGTAAGATAACTAATAACAGATTACCTTGCTTTTTGCAAAATTCATATGCTGTATCAAAACTTGTACTCTCGAAAACTGTGGAAAACCTGTAGCAATTGCTTCTAAATTTTATCCAGGTGACATTTTTTTCTGAGCATAAGCCTCTGTATTCAATTAGTTTCTTTTCTGTGATAGAAATAACATTGTAGGTTTAATGGAGTAACACAATATATTAATAAACATCCCACAAATCATTTTAGAATAATACTAGCAATAATTTTACACTTGAGAAGCATACATGTAAACTGGTAAATCTTTTTACTGTATTATGGCATGGAAAATCTTTATTTATTGTAAAAATTATAAAGAAAAATGGAAACTTGACTCACCCACAGTTTAGATCTATTTTTTCTTTTTTTTGCAGGAATAAGCTAAATTGAAGTAAGCTATTCCTAAACCCAAATAAGATACAATTAAGGGATACAGCCACATAATAAATACAATCATTGTGACTGATCCTGCTGCCCCTCCTCACCCTAGATTCCGTCTGGTGAGAAATTAGCTCAATATATATATTTTTAAATGGACAATAGATCTCATGCTACACCCATTGAAGTCAATAGGAGTCCAATGGCAGTGGGATTG